ATGGGGGTATGAGGAAGGGAGGGAGGAGAAAAAAGAGGGGAGAAAGGGAGTGGGGAGGGGAACATGAGGGATCAGGAAGGTCGAGTTGGGGAAAGTACAGAGGAGAGCAAGGAAAGAGATACCTTAATAGAGGGAACCATTATAGGCTTCACAAGAAATATGGCACTAGGGAAATCTAATTGGGGATGACCCCCAATTAGAAATCTAAGCAATAGTGGAGAGGCTAGCTTAAATGTCCTTCCCTTGTAATAAGATTGATAACTACCTTAAATGCCATCCTAGAGCTTTCATCTAGTAGCTGATAGAAGCAGAAGCAGAGATTCACAGCTAAGCACTGAGCTGAACTCCTGGAATCCAGTTGTAGAGAGGGAGGGGTGATGAACAAAGGGGATCAAAGCAGTGTTGGGGAAACCCACAGAAACAGCTGACCTGAGCAACTGGGAGCTCGTAGACCTCAGACTGACAGCTAGGGAACCAGCATAGGACCAAAACAGGCCCCCTGAACATGGGTGTCAGTTGAGGGGCTTAGGCAGTCTATGGGGCCTCTAACAGTGGAACCAGTATTCATCCATGGTGCATGAATGGCTTTGGGAGCCCATTCCCTATGGAGGGTTATTCTCTCAGCCTTACACGGGGAAGGGCCTTGGTTCTGCCTCAAATGATGGGACAGACTTTGATGATCCCTCATAGGAGGCCTCGTCCTCCCTGGGAAGTGGATGGGGCATGGGATGGGGGGCTGATGGGTGAGTTAGGAGGCAGGAGGAAGAGGGAACTTGGATAAGTATGTAAAATAAGATTGTTTTTAATTTAAATAAAAATCAATTAAAAAAACAAATAGATATGTGCCAAGCAAAGCTATTAATACTACCTGTAACCTGTCCATCCCCACACCCATTTTCTTCTGAGTTTCTCAAGACAGAAACCAAAGAGTCATCACTGATTCCTCCCTTTCCTAAAGCCCAGCACTCCATCAGAAAGCTTATTTTCACAGACTACCTCTGAACTACATCTCCTTCTACCCATCTTTGTGCAAGGAGCCTGGCACTCACCACTAAATGCCAGGCAAACATGACAGCTCAACTGGATCGTGGGTGAGCTGCTGAATGGTGCCCTCATCCTCAACTATACCCATTAAATCCATCTTTACATGGCTACCAATATTAAGACTCTCCCTGTCTTTCCATTTGCACATACTTTGCAGGCTTGCCTAGATAATAAGGCACAACCTTCCTATTCTGGAAATCTAACAGTTATGCTAATCTTTCAATTCCTTGAACACACCAAGTTCTTCATGGCCTCAAGACCTTTTCATGTATGATGCTCTTTCACATCCCTATACCTGGACTGTTTGTTTATATTGTGCTGCCTCCTTAAAGTCACATTCTAAACACCACTCCTGAAGTTCTCTTCCATGTCTTGTGTTGTCTATATCTAGTCTTTATTTACACAGGTTGTCTGTATCTTTTCTGCCTTTGTCTTCCCGTTCTTTCCCCATTACTTACCAAAGTACCTGGTCGCTGGGATGTTTACTAATTTAACCACCATGTCCCCTGTCCCCAGTATAGCATATGCTATATCCTTAATAAATATCTGTTGAATACACTAGTCAGTTAAATGAATCAAAACCTCCAGAAGTATGAGATCAAGCAAAACTGTCCTCTTTGTAAGTTTATTGTCTCTGATACTTAATATGCTAATGAAAAAGTAATATGATGCTCCTGTCTCCGGTCCCCATCAAGAGCACCCTTGGAGCTCTGATACACCCCCACCCATCCCCACTGCCAGCCTACCCCCCCACCCTGTGTCCTACCCCACCCACGGTCCTGCCGCTCTGGTTGAGCACTGGGACAGAGGGTGGAGCCAACAGTCCACCCTACTTCGGAGAATTCTCAGAGTAATTCTGAACAAAGGAGACCTGACTATCCACGCAGGACCACCCGTAATTTCCACAGGCTTGGTCTCTGACCCCACCTCCAGTCCTCTGCTGGAGTCCCGGGCCCCTCCCAGAGATCCGCCTATCTCTGCGGGGTCCACTCGGAGTTCCTGCTGGTAAGATCCTTGACCCCCAAATCCTGGCCTCTGCCAAAGAATGAGGTCTCAGCTGGAGAGCGCCAGTTTCCAGTGAGATCCCACTATCCTGCAAAATCTTCTCAAGTTCCAGCTCAGCCCTTGCCCTCTTCTGCCAGCTATTGGCCAGAGGACCACTGTGAGTACCTTCTTGCATCTTCTTCTGGATCCTCATCCTTGACCCATCCCTGGATCCCTGTCTGCGGAGAAACCTCCTAGAGAGCCTATAATTCACACCACCAGAGGAACTAGGATACAAGGTGTATTCTAAGAGATTCATATAAAGTCCCTCACAGAACCAGGAAGGGACATGTCCCCCACGGAGCACAGGGGAAGTGGGGGGGGCAGCGAATGGAGAAAGAAGTAGGAGAAAACGTGGGGGAGGAAAGGAAAACACATGCAACCAGGAAGATTGAGCCCGATTAGGAATAGAAGACAGGAGAGAGAGAGAGAGAGAGAGAAAGAGAGAGAGAGAGAGAGAGAGAGAGAGAGAGAGAGAGAGAACATAAGAGAAGGAGCTAATATTGGTTTGAAGATAAAATTGAACACAAAGAAAGGTCTAGAGAACTACAAGACTGCCGCCAACTAACAATTTGAGCTTCTGTGGAAAGGCTACCATAAATGCCCTTCCAGAGAGTGAGATCAACAACTAACTTATCCATGGAGCTCTCATCTAATGCCTGTTGGAAAGAGGATCAAACACCCATACATAAACACTGAGTCGAACTAGAACCCAGATGCAGATGGAGAGGACAAGACCATGTGGCAGAAACACATACAGACAGCTTACCTGAACAAGGAGGAGCTAATGGCCACTAGACTGATAGCTGGGAAGCCAGCATGGGTCTGACTCAGGCCCCCCTGAATATGGGTCTCAGCCAGAAGGACTGAGCAGTCTAAGGGACCTCAGACAGTGGAGCCAAGATGTATCCCTAGTGCACAAAAGGACCTTGTGAACACATCCCCCATGGAGTGATAACTGCCTTAACCTAGAGACAGGAGAGAAGCCCTAGTCCCTACTTCACATGACCTGTCAGAACTACATGACCCCAACTGGATGGAATTCCCCTACATATGGAATTGGGGTGGGGGGATGGGAGGGGAGGGTGGTTAGGGTGCATGTTAGAGGACAGAGAGGGTAAAAGGGAGGGAGGGAGGAAGAGGGAACTGGAATCGACATGTAAAATAATAAATTTAAAAAAAATGCTTTGACTCCAAAATTTAAGTTGAAGGACAAGTTACTGGGGAAAAGGATTTCTATTTTTGTTTCCACAGAAAATGAAAAGATGTGGATTCCTTCCAGACTAATGTGGTTTGATCAAGCCAGACTGCCTAAAACAGAGTACCAGGTGATCCTACATTCAAAACAACTGGACAAAGCAGCCTTGCAGACTACAGTCAGGATTTCTGCATCTTCTTAGATTCCCCCATGACAGCGTCCCTTACCAGCAGGAAGTAGTTTGGAAAGAACGATGCCCAAATTCCCAAATATTGTCTATAAATGTTTGTTTTCATTTAAATGGACTTGGTTATATAAAATAAATAAAAAAATAAAAATAAAGAATTGCCATGATCATGGTGTCTCTTCACAGCAATAGATACCTTAATTAAGGCACTGTCATATAATACCTTCTTAAAGCCTGATGCATAGAAATAATAGGACTAAGAGGTAAGCTGTGAGATGGAAGGTAGAATCCAAGGCGTATCCAAAACAGAATCACTGGTGGTGATGTTATGTCAGATAATTCCAAACCAAGTCTTGGAACATATTTCACCTGTGTTTGCAACATCACAAGACTTAATTTACTGCTTTGCATATTGGGGTCTGAAGGAAGAGAAATTATCATGCTCATGTTTGTATTCAGGATTGCATGGTCTATTGCAATCTGTGTGTCTTTCAGCTAAAGTAACCCTCTGTCTTAGTCACTATTCTATTGCAGTGAAGAGGCACCATGATCTAGGCACCTCTTATTGGGGTTTCAGAGGTTAGTCCATTATCAATCATCATGGCAGGGATCATGGCGGCAGGCACACAGACATGGTGCTGGAGAAGTGATTGAGGGTTATACATCCTGATCCATAGGCAGAGAGAAAGATGCTAAGCCTGGTATGGATTTTTGATGTCACTCCCAGTGTCATACTTCCTCCAACAAGGCCACACCTCCTAATCTTTGTAACTTTAAAACAGTTCTACTCCCTGGTAACAAAGCATTTGAACATGAGTCTATAGAGGCCATTATTATTCAAAGCACCACACCCTCACACAACATACAACTGATTTAAAACTATCCCACAAGCACTTCTAAAATTCCAGAAAACACAAGAAAAATATCAGAACTGACTCTACGATTTCCCATCACTTTTAAGACAGTACAATTAGTTTAAAATTCAAATTGATGTGAATGACTCTTTGAAATTTGGATTCATTTTTTATTCACTTTGGTTAACAATTACCATAATAAACGTGTATTCTGTGTGTCAAATTATTAAGTGATAATTTCTGAATCTATAGTGATCATCAAGACACATAAAATGTTCTTTTATATTGCCTCACTCTGGAAACCTACCTTTTAGGTATTTATCATATTTATAATAAACATACATAAAGATAAGAAGGAAGAATCTTGCATTGACTCTTTGGAATTCACTTCTCTGCACCATGGGCTGCTGTGAGAACAGGGAGGGAGAGTTGCATGTGAGAAGACTGTGACTTGACTGTACTTGGTAGCTGAACAGATGGTGGGACAAGATCAAGAAAGGATAAAAGTGATTCTTGAGCTCCACACTGGAATGATGTTGAGATGAGTGACACTTCAGAAATGGATGTCTGGAGAGGTGTTGACATGGTGGTGGTCTTTTAAGATGCCTTGCTTGCTGTGTTTTCAAGTAAAAGATTCTCCAAAACTTTGATTCTTTGTCCTGGACTCAGGACATGCTGGATTTTAATTCTCAGGCTCTAGGTAGAAGTTGGTGTTATTAGCTTCACCCCTCTGCTGTGTGAGAATGATTGTCTGTCTTGCTATGGAAGAGGTGGCTATGAACCAGCCAGGATAGGAGACTGACTGAAAGGCAGATGTGGAGCCCTCTTTGCTGTGGTAGAAGAGAAAGGCTTTCTGTACTTTGTTCTCATTGTACATATTCATGATGTCCACATTCTAGGATAAGAAACAGGCTTGTCAATGAGGATGACCAGGGAGAGGGGGCTACAGTAACTGCACACACTGAGTGCATGTCATGGGACTAACTGCTAAGCCCAATAGGAGGGACATGGCTTAGGGTTACAGGCAAATGAAAAGATAGAAAGCTATCAAAACAGGCACCCACTAGTTTCCAAATAGCCTGGCTTTTTCCCAGAGTCCCATGATACAAGGGGTCCTGATTTTTTAAGACATTGTATTCCCTGAAAGGGAATAGGGTAGGGATGGAAGGCTTCTGGTACGCAATCATGTACAATTTTGGGCCAGCCACCCTGAATATCCAACTATACATAACAATTTCCATCATTGGCAAGGGATGAAACTTTTAACTATATTTCTTTTAGCACACAGATATGAAATATATACTATGAAAACTCCAGGTTAGCAATCCTTTGCTTAAGTGTTGCATATTAGCATCTCTGGGGGTGTCTACAAGGGAGTTACTCAGGACTAAGGATGGAGAAGCCACTGTTCCTTCACTTTTCAGAAACAATTTCATGATTTGTTTGATGTTCTGCTTTTCACTTAAATCCTGTTCTTTGGGTATTAAAAAAAAAAATGCTGTATCTACTTAGTAGCATTGTAACTTATTTGGGGACCAGCTAGGTGAGGGTTCCTTCCTTACTCTGAAGAGAGAAAACTAGCAGGGATATTGTGGATATCATTTTTATTCTGTAACCTGGTAAGCTATCTTAAATAAAGGTCTATCTAATATACCTCCCTCACCTGCTGCATTTACTCACCTTAAGCTGCAAAGTAGGTGTTCCCTGGATTTCAGCACAGAAGAGGCAGAGACTTTTACTCTCGATCCCGAGAAGAACTAGATTACCTTTTGCAGGGTCTTGGAATTCTGTGTCTCTACATGCTATCAAGCTAAGAATGACTGGAAACACAAGAACAATGGGGACGATGTCAGGCTCCAAAAGCTATTTAGTCTTTTGACCAACCCTGTGAATCCTCCAAATCATCGTCATCATATCCCCATCAAAGTTCCCCTCATTAGCTATGTGATTATTGGCTGTTTCCTGAGACCAATTTCCTTTTATTCTTGATACCAGAACCTCAGTTGTCACCTGGACACATTGCTTCCCAAAAATTAAAAAAAAAAAAAAAAAAAAAAAAAAAAAAGATATTTTATTACCTACTACTGTTACCGCTAAATATAGTCATGATATATGAATAGTAATATTTGTAGCATTTCTAAAATTGTTCCTTAATAGACTAGACTCACCTGGGAATACTTCATTTGTCACATCTTCTCACCTACATCAAATAATTAACTGATAACTAAACTTGAAGTTGGTGAAGCAGAAAGCCAATATCCTTGGCCTCTGGTGGCATCATGGAACCCAGCCTGTCCTGGCCCACTGGTTTTACATATGAAAGAAATAAACCGCTATCTATTTAAATTTTCATTGTATGAGTTTTCTATCAGTCTTTATTAAATTTAATTATCTGTTATGAATAATTTTTTCCTGCCGACCTGGGCCCAGAGCCGCGCCAGCCCCAAATAACACACGGAGACTCTATATTTGATATAATGTTGTTGGCCAGGTACTAATTTATATCGGCTAGCTCTGTCTTAATGATTAACCAATTTCTATTAATCTAAGTATTTCCATGTGGTCTCATCTTACCGGAGAGAGGGACTGGCATTCTGCTTTCTCCAGTCTCTCCATGTTGACTCCTCCCTACTACTTCCTCGAATCCTCCTTGTCTCTTAGTCCTGCCTATCTTGCTTTCCTATTGGCCAATAGTGTTTTATTCATTAACCAGTATGAGAAACATATTTACAGAATGACATCTCCCATCAATTATCCAATAATTTAGAAAGAGATTCCCAAGAGTTTGGGCGTCCTGTATCTATTTCTTAGCAGAGGACAGGAAACAAAACTATTCAACAGCTATTTATTAACTACCCACCTAAGACAAAGCTCTATGTATACACTGGAGATTTGACTTAGGGCAAGATATAAAATACTCCCTTCTAAGTCTCATATATTGAAGCTTGCACATTTCCTGTTGACACTATTGAGACATAATCAGAGTATGAGGGTCCTACCTTTATCAATGGATTAATCCATTAATGAGTTTACAATTGAATGAGTTATTAGATGCAGGACCTAATTGGTCACTGGTGATGTTCCTTTAAAGCAAGAAGGTTGGAACCTCCTCGCCCCAACTTCCTGTCTACCATAAGGAGAACAGCCCTTTTCCCACTATACCATTTGTCTGTCTTGACACAGACCTAAAAAAGCAATGGAACCAACAGAAGGCTCTGAAAACCCTGAACATATTATACCAAATCAGCCTCTAAGTATTATTTCTGGTGGTGGTGAGGGTAGGCTATCATAATAATGAAAAGCTGACCAACACAAAGGGCAAAGGAATAGAATCTGGGAATGAAGAGGAAGTTTTATTATTGAGACTAGGGATATGATGTGAGAGGTCTCTCTGTGGTGGACAAGGTTAAGAGGAGAATTATATAAAACATGGAAGTTTTAAAAGAAGTGAGACAGGCTGAGTGGATTTCCTTTTGATGAGAAGAAGAAACATTTCACCACTATTAGAAAAGAAGATGTCAAGAGAGAAGAGTGAGTAAGTTTGATAGTGGCAAGATGGGAGAGTTTGAATCTATAGATATGAGTAGATGCTAGTTGGAATTTAAAGGAACACCATTCTAAAAAGAAACTTAGTGACAGTGGGACACAAGTCTTTCCTATTTGAAGACACTTTAGTGAGGGAAGATGTTGGCTCTTGCACTGTCATTTTTATGTATATATTTTCCTTTGTAGCAGGGGGACAATCTTTTTCTCTTTTCCTTTCCTCTGAAGATCAGATTGGTGACCAGGTAAGGAATGGCAAAGACTTATGCAGGCTCATGTCCATTCACCGAGAACCTGATGGCTCTTCAAGAGTAACAGTACCCTCTCATGTCACTTACCAGGCTTGACATTGTTGCTAGCAGGTACTGCTGTTAAAGAATTCCCTGTTAGGACCCACACCATCTGCTGGGAGTCATAGATCCTGTAGGTACTGGGATATATCTGTCCTGACAGATGACAGAAAAGCACAAGACACAGGTGTGGGTATAATTAGCTTTAAGGTTTGGGCTCCATTTCATTCTAATAATGATGAAATGTAAATTTCTGTGATAGATATTGTTTTGAGAAAAAAAACATGAAAACAAGGGAAGGGAAATAGGGTAAGACTGGTTTATTATAAATCAAGACACAGAAAAGAACAAAATACATTCCTGGTTGCAAGAGTGTTCAGCATTTGCCAGTTTTTCTGGAGTTATCTTTTCCTAATTTATAAAGTCTCTGCACAACAACAACAACCAAAACTACTTAAACCAGTCATCAGTATGTGCATAATTTCTTTCTTTATCATCTTAATCAAAATGAGCAAGAAATTCTTTTTAACATAATCCTTTATTGATTCTTTGAAATTTCACATCACGCACCCCAATCCCACTCTCCTCCCATGCCTCCACATTCACCACTTACCCCTGCAGCATTTCTCCCCCCAAAGTTAATTCAAATCAAAACAAGCTAAAAACTCAGCTCTATCTTCTGTCCAACACCTTCTTCATTCATCCTAGTGGCATTGGTAGCTACAATGTGTCACACTTTTGTCTAATCAGCCCCACCCAGAAAATGTTCATTACAATGAATCATTGGTCTGTTTTAAGACTTCAGGCCTCTGGCACACCATCATCACAGGGCCCTTATTGAAACTCCTTTCAGATACCTGTTTTCCTGAGTCATGGAGATCTTGTGGTTATGGTTCCACCAGACTAGTCCTACATGGATGTCCAGGGTCTAGGCCACATCTTATGGCCATGTTGGCTCTGAGAGCCATGCCTCAACTAGTGTCAGGCATATCTGAGTGATCTGCACAGCCACATGGGCTATGGTGTCATCTGGGTCCATGGTCAAACAGCAGCCAGGGTCTGGGCTGATGATCCATGGCTCACGTTACCACAGGGGGTCATAGGAACTATGTATGTTGAAACCCGAGGGCTGTGCAAAGCCAGCCCTGCCCCCTCATTGGCCCTGGGATAGCTGACCCTGCCTCTTGTTGGACACTGCATCAGGAGAGCTGATATCTCCCCATCACCACAGACAAGGGAGAGTTTGCCCCAATGGCATGGACCATCACCTGAGGGGGCATGAACCATGGCCAGGCACAACCAGCTCAGCTACCACCCAGAACCACAACCAGCCTTTGGTTGGCCCACCCTAACATCTGCCCCATCTATGACTTGCTGGAATGAGCAAAGGAACAAGCAATTCTAAATTCAACTATTAAGACAAGAACTAAGAGCCTTGAGATTTCAATATGTAAGTTTCTGAGTATTTCAGCCAGAGTAAATAGATTTTTGGTTAAGAAAGTGAGACAGGCCCCTTCAACTCTGTTGTGACACATTGTTTATGATTTAATAAAGCTTGCCTGGGGATCAGAATGCAAAGCTAGCCATACTAGCTAGCCACAGAAGTCAAGCAGTGGTGGTACACACTTTTAACCCCAGGACTCAGAAGACAGAGACAGTTGGATCTCTGTGAGTTCAAGACCACCCAGGGTAACAGAGCTCACGCCTTTAATCCTAGCACTAGAGAGTTACATAAGGAAGAAGCAAAGGGTCTCTTGTGACATTTAATGTCCAGTCACAGAGAAGACAAGATCTCCATTTCAGACTTGGTAGAAGTAAGAGCTACTGGCTGGCCGCTTTACTTTTCTTATCTATAGCTTGAAACTCAATATCTGTCTCTGGGTTTTTATTATTCATACTAACAAATTGGTACCCAACGTAAAGGCACAAATTCATGAAAAAGCTGCTTGCCTATGGCTTTGAAGCCACCAGGCCCAGGCCAGAGCTGCAGAGTGTGTGTGTGTGGGGGGGGGGAGGCTGGAAGGAAGAAATAATCCCACTGCAGGCCCTGCCTGGCCAACTAGGTTTTCTTTTGTTTTCTCCTCAAGTCTTTGATTTCTTTTCTCTCAGTGCATTGTGGGCTTTCCCTGGACCTCCTGGACTCTCTGGATCCCCTTCGCAGGATGATGTCAAACTAGGTAGCTGCTCTGAAACCTAAGCAGGCTTCTGCTATTCTATGCAACAGCAGACATCTTCATACTTCACCATCATCTGAATCGCCATCAATGGCATATTGGGTGAGACAATTATAAATTCTTAAAGGAAGGAATTATTTAAAAGAGTTTATTTTTCTCACGTTAAAAAATTGGAAACACTATTACAATGGAGAGAATCAGGTCTCTGTATGATTACACAATGGATGGTTTAAAAATGGTACAAGTAAATGAAGGGCTAATCAACTTAACCAGGATTGACATGCTGTTAATTATCATTTTGATAATCTTTGTTGTCAGTTTGATAATTCTAAAAAACTTGGTTGATATGAGTGCCAAGCTGTAGGCCTTAGAAAAACTTATTAAAACACATCATGGAGATATTCAAATCCAGACAGAGGAATTCACTGGAGAACCAATTTCAACATTGCATTATAAGATTAAAGAGGAACAGTTTAAGGTCTTAAGAAAATCAACCTTAATATATCCAGTAACCTTACAGGAAGTGCCAAATGATAGAGGTTCTGTAAGAGTTAATTGGATGCCTATGACAATGTTAGATTAAGAGAAATTTCAAAGAAGCTGTAGTCTCTTATGACATGCATTCATCATTTGTGAAGCAGATGTTAAATATGTGGTCAGTTTGTAATAGCATTATCCAGACTGGATAGATTTGGTTAAAGCTATTGTAGAGCCTGACCCACAATTACAATGTATTACCTGGTTCAGAGAAGAAGCTAAGACTATGGAATAATGGGCTAAAGCTGGAGATAAGGATATCGCCCAAGAACAACTTCTTGGAAAAGGAGATTATGCTACTTTAGAAAGCAATGTCTACATAGTGACCACCTCTTGACTTTATGTCATGCAGCAGCTTTGAATGCCTGGGACATAATAGGTGAAGTAGAAAAAAAAAGTAAATCATTTACTAAAGTTATACAGGGCCCAAAGGAAACCTTCATGGATTTCTTACAAAGATTGACATCAGCAATATATAGATTGCTACCAGATTCAGAAGATAAACAAATAACAATTGAATCTCTGACTTTTGAAAATGCTAATTTTTAATGAAATGGGGTAACTAGGCTTTTAAAAAGCAAGGTCATCACCTTTGGAATGAGTCCAAGATGCAATTAATGTTGAAACTCATGACCATGATGATGCATGGGTAGGAGAGTGATTTAAAAAGGTTTGAAGTAAAATCAAGTGCTTTAATTGTGATAAACAATGTCACCTTAAAAGATATTGTAAATGGCATTCCTAAAAAAAAAATGCTTTTTCTAAGTATAATACAAAAAGAACACCCCTCCCTTCTGGATTATGTAGAAGGTATGGCAAGGCAGGCACTAGACTAATGAACGTAGATCAACAAGAGATTAGTAGATCAACAAAAGATATTCAAGGCAATAAGGCAATCCTTTGCCACTGGGAAACTATGTCAAATATGGTTCAGTCATTTCCTGTCACCATGGAAACTCCTTCCCAGAGTAACTAAAGAACCTAATGCCTATTGGGGAAAAAAACATATTTCTCTGGATGGTAGAAGAGCTTAGAAGCTAAACCAAAAACTTCAGGAGAAATCATAAATCAAAACTGATAAAGATTAGAAAACTCCCCAAAGTTAGGGTTGGGGAAGAGTTTTGTTTTTGCCTTTTCAGAAAAATAAACAAACATCTCAAAGAATATAAAGACCTTTGGACAAATAAGCATCCAAAGATGAAGGAAGAACAACCCAGAAAAAAATTACTAAGAAAAAAATAATAATCTGACCTAATGTGATCTCTGAAGTCTCCAAAAAGATGGAACCCCACAATGATGATTCCATCAGGATTGTAACAATGCCACTAAGCTGAAAAACACCACCTAAAGATCAGCTTTGGACTACAACCTGCTCAGGACAATTTCAAGGTGGCCAGCTGATGATCCAGCCCCACAGACACTGCTCAGAACAATTTCAAAGAGGCTAGCTAAGAGGATCCAGCCACTTATACTGCTCTAGCCAGGACTTCAGACAAGCCCTGCACTTTCCCAATATGCAGAGTCTGAACAATAAATTATATAGCTACCTCTCCCAAGATTTGACAATTAATCCAAAATTTTCTTTTCAGGATCCCCTAAAGATGATGTGGACCCCAGGCAGCAGGTAGTAACTTTAAAAACATGATCTCCATCTCCAAGAGGTGGGGTATGTGGTTTTCAGTCATTCAATAAGTTATGGATATTTGTCATTGTTAGGGAGATTGGTTACACGTTGTTATTGGTAATAGTCAGAAAAAACAGCTAAACAAAGGAGATTAGATTCAAGGTTTTTGGTTTGAAAAGAAAAAGGGGGATGTAGATATGGTAGAATAAAAGGGTAGATTATTGAATCTACTCTGAAAAGAAAAAAGGATACATATATATATATATATATATATATATATATATGATAAAAAGGTAGATTAGTAGCAACTACTATTTTTAAATATTTTACATTGGATTGCACTTTTGCATATTGCATACAAATTTTGGATATTGATACAAATTTGAGATTAATTTTGTTAAAACATACTGTACATATGTTTCTAATCTTGTTCAAGGTATTGTACCTATACAGCCCATTTAACAATGTATTGCAAATTTCTAGTTCTTGAAAGTTATTATTACAAACTATATAGAATAATAAGGAAATGCAGGTTAGTAATTAGCCACCTATTACAATCGAACTTGTAGTCATATTAGCATGTTATCAATGTCAAACAGACACATTTTAGACAGTCTTCAAAAACTTCACAATCTACAGAATATGGCATCTAAGATGTTTTAATAACATATGTACTTTTTTATGACAATGAGACATGTCTGCTCCTGGCAGCACCAATCTGATTCAAAAAGGATAATGGGCATCAAAGAAATTCTACATGAAGTTAACTTTCTTTGATAAAAGTACATCATTGGGTAAGAAGTGTCCTTGTCTCAACTGCTGACACTGTGCTGTCCAAATTGGACAAACAGGACACAAAAGAGAGTGACTGCCAAACCTGGCCAAGACAAAGCGGGACAGTTCTTCAAAAATCCTGCTTCACAAAAAAAAATTCTGTCAAATATGCTAGGTATATAGGTCAAAGATGGATGAACCCACATTGCAGAAGAAACTTGGCAGCCAGCTGTTTCTGTCATTTCTCACACATTTTGGAAGCTATTTGCTCATACTTCCTGCTTCCTCAGTTAATATTATTTCTTTCTCGGGTGTCTGAAGGAGTTGAAGACTAGATAGTTATAGTTTTCTTTGTTTTCCAGACTCAGAAAACAAACTCACTGTAAAAGGTATAAACTGTAAAAGTTTGAGAGACATTACAAGATAATGCAATTTGATAATGCAAACTAGAATAGAAAGTTAAATTAGGTACAAAACTTTGGATTCGTCCAGATAAAATACATAATGGAGTATTTTCTTTTAATTTTTCAAATGCAAATGGACTAGACACTGTTGATGTACTTATTGCCTGTATATATTATATATAGTTATTATACTTACTGTATATAGTTTTCTTATGTAGTCTTCCTCTTTGTATTGACAAAAAAGGGGAATTATAGTGGTATATTGTTTATGATTTAATAAAGGTTGCCTAAAGATTAGAATGCAAAGCTAGCCATAGAGACCAGGCGGTGGTAGTATACCCTTTAATCCCAGGACTCAGGGGACAGAGACAGATGGATCTCTGTGAGTCCAAGACCATCCATGGCTACATGAGAATGAATCAATCTAAAAGAGAAACAGAGCAGTAGAAAGGTATATAAGGGAGAAGCAAAGGGTCTCGTGTGACAAACATTCAGTCTCCAGACCCAGAAAAGACAGGATCTCCATTTCAGCCTTGGTAAGAGCTACTGGCTGGCCACTTTTCTTTTTTGTGATCTTCAGCTTGAACCCCAATATCTATCTCTGAGTTTTTTATTATTTGTAGTACACAGCCCTATTGCCCTTGGTGAGAGTAAATGGAGATGGTCCAAACTTGTTTGTGATTCACACTTACTTTCTTTGCTGTATTCAGAACTGTCTTGAGGAGGAAAAAAATCACTAGATTGTGGAGAAGTCATCATTGCCTGGCCCTGAAAAAAAAAAGGGGGGGGGAAATATACATATTCTTCTCTTATATGCTTCTAGGGTTTTATGAAAATTACTTAGTAAGAGCTTCCTAAGCCCTCACCACATATACATTAAAATGTCTTAATGACTTATCTATTGTATTTATGTAATGAGTATTTTGCTTGTCTGTATGTATGTGCATCAAGTGTGTGCCTGGTGCCTATGGAAGTCAGAAGAGAAAGTTTGATCATCTAGAACTGGAATTATAGACAGTTGTGAGCTGCCCAGGTGGATGAACCCTGGTCCCCTGCAAGAGCACTAAATGCTCTTAAGCACGGAGTCTTTTTTTTTTTTTTTTTTTTTTTTTTTTTTAGCATCCAGATTAATGTTTTAAAGTGTCCCTGTACAGAACATATTTCAAGGCCAGCAAGCCCTGAGTGGAAGCTCCCAGGCCTTTAGTGACTGGTGTGCTCCTAGGTCTCCAGGAGATGATGGTTTTGAAATGCCATCCACCACCACATATGGACAGTGAGGAAGTTCCATCACCCGAGGTGACTTCTTGCGCATTGCTAGGCTTAGAGAAAATCAGGGTGTGCTCTCCACCTCTGTTCTAGCTCTCCTCACAGCTAGTGAATCACTATACTTCATGCTTTTAAGCTGAGAATTCCCAAGCATCTGTCAACAGACCTAGCCTTCTGACTTACTGAGCATCTATCAGCAGAACCGCCCCTCTGAATTCTCAATTCCTTTACTCTTCATTCAGGGAAGCACCTCCCTGCCCAGGACCATCAGTGCCTCACTTGAAAATTGTCTTTAAGCAGAGAATAAACAAATTGCAAGCAGCATTTTTATTATAAGCAATTTTAATTTCTCCAATACCTTTTACCTTGGGTCAAGGCCTCCAGAAGCACTCAGGGCTAGACAGAAAGACTTTAGAAGGCTCTAGATAGCAGAAATTACCTTTGTTCAAGGATGTTCTTGTCTCTGGAATCAAAGTTTTCGATGCAGCTGTATCTGCAGGCACTGAGAGCCAGTCTGGGATTCCTGGGCTTTTAATTAGCCAGGCAACAGCCCTATCTCCTGACCCTGGGTGTGTCCACTTTAGCAAGAAGCCTGCACTGGCAAGGAGGGCCTGTGAGACCTTGGAGGGGAGGCAGCAAGGCAATACAGGTGTAACAGGTCTGGGCTCCTGGAGAAAGAAAAGCAATAATGAAAACAATAATGAGGAAATGCACAGGCTGAAAGCTGGGTCACGTGGAGAGCATGGGTTCTGGGCTGCCTTGAAGCACAGGTGTGGCTGTCTTGACTTAGTGAACAGCAGAACACCAAAGTGCTATTTGCATGGCAAATGTAAAAGGAAATATGTAAATATTAACATGGCAAATTTCAGTCCTGTTCTCAGGAGTTTTACATATTTAATATGGCACAACCACCACCACCCCACCCCCACCCCCGTGAGAGCTTCTTCTGTTTCTGATGAAGTTGTAAGGGTCCTTTCCTGAGTAATCTTTTAATCCTCACAATAGTCCTTTACAGGACATTGAACTTAATCACAGAAGAAAACCAGCCTGGAGAAATGACAAATAAGCCACATAACCAGTCACACTGCCAGTTAAGTGTGAAGGCTTCTTTTGGGTGAAGTGTGATGTGTTCTTCATACAGTATTAGAAACACCAAAAGGCCTTGAGCTTCACTCCATGTTCAGTGGAGCAGAAAAAGATACTATGAAAGACTTCCAGGAGGATTCTAAGAGATTCATACAAGGTTCCTCACAGAAGGGGAAAGGGACAAGATCTCCTGAGCATATTGGGAGTAGGGGAGGGACAGTGAGTGGAGAGGGAACTAGGAGAAAGAGAAGGGGAAGAGAGGAAAGCGCATGGAACTAGGAAGATTGAGTCAGGGGAGGAATAGATGAGGAGAGAGAGAGAGAGACTATAAAAGAGGGAGCTATTATAGGTTTGAAGAGAAAACTGAACATAGAGAAATGTCTAGAGACCTACAAGACAGACCCCAACTAACAATTTGAGCAACACTGGAAAGGCTACCATAAATGCCATTCCCTGATAACTTATCCACCATCATGGCTCATCTAGTAGCTGATGGAGACAGAAGCAAACACCCACAACTGAACACTGAGCCGAACTGGAATCCAGATGCAGAGAGGGAAGGCAAGACCAAGCTACAGAAACTCACTAAAGCAGCTGACCTGAACAAGGAGGAGCTAATGGGCCCCCAGACTGATAGCTGGGAAGTCAGCATGGGACTGACTCAGACCCTCTGAACATGGGTCTCAGCTAGAAGGCCTGGGCAGTCTAAGGGACCTCTGACAGTGGAACCAGGATGTATCCCTGGTGCACAAATGGACTTTGGAAGCACATTCCCCATGGAGGGACACTCCCTTAACTTAGAGACAGTAGAGAAGGCCAAATGGTGGATTTTGGGATTTTGGGATTTTGGGAAATCCACCATTAAGTCTTCCCCTTGGAACCTTTCAGTAGCCCCTAATTACTGCCCCTGCCAGGCCCTATGTGTATCCATTTAACCAAGAACCTGGACTAATACAAAAGACCTGTGAAGATTTGAAGGGGAGGCAGATAAGTAATACAGGTGTGGCTGCTCTGGGCTTCTGGAGAAACAAAAGTAGAGAAAACACCAGGATACTGCTTTTCCCTGGAATAAATGTCCACCCAGCCATGACGAGGATAAGATAAAAATATGGTCACATTGCTTCCCTGCTCAAAACTCTCCAACATGTCACTTCATGGTAAAATGCTCAGAGCTCTTAAGTGTCATGTCATCATAGAATTCTCAGAGCTGTTACCATGATCACCCCAATCCACAGGACCCACCCTGATTTCTTTCCTTGCAGCTTTTGCTGCTACCTTAATGGCTTTAGTTCATACTGGACTGATGCTAATTCTCCCAGATTGTTACTTTTTTAGATATTGGCATTTAGGCCTTGTTTTCTTTGAAAACAACCTCACCTTTACAGGGCTTTTAAAATAACAGGTCATTGTTTTCTCTCTATGGAGGCTAGTCTGTTTATTTCTTGCCAGAGTTTTAAATTCAACTATTTTCCAGAGGTACTGGATATTTTTATATCACTATGATTATTTGGGGGTAATGATTTGTTCTGACCTACAACTAAGGCATCCTTATGAGTTTGCTGTTAAGATTTGATAGGTGAAATGATGACTTATGTTGGAGAGGATGTGGAGAAAGGGGAACACTCCTCCACTGCTGGTGGGAGTACAAACTCATACAGTCATTTTGGAGATCAGTATGGTGGTTCCTCAGGGAAATGGGAATTAGTTTACCACAGGATCCAGCAATCCCCCTCTTAGGCATATACCCAAAGGATTCACATCCATGCAATAATGACATTTGTTCAACTATGTTCATAGCAGCACTATTTGTAATAGCAAGAACCTGGAAGCAATCTAGATACCCCTCAATTGAAGAATGATTAATGAAGAAGATGTGGCACATCTACACAATGGAATACTACTCTGCAGAAAAAAATAATGGTATCTTAAAATTCGCAGGCAAGTGGATGGCACTTGAAGAAACCATCCTGAATGAGGTAACCCAGTCACAAAAAGAGGAACACAGTATGTACTCACTCACATATGGATTTTAGACCTAGATCAAAGGATCACCAGCCTATAATTCACACCACCAGAGGAACTAGGATACAAGATGTATTCTAAAAGATTCATATAAAGTCCCTCACAGAACTGGGAAGGGACAAGTCCCCCAGAGCTCAGGGGAAGTTGGGGGGGCAGCGAATGGAGAGAGAAGTAGGAGAAAACGTGGGGGAGGAAAGGAAAACATGTGTGACCAGGAAGATTTAGCCTGGTTAGGAATAGAAGACAGGAAAGAGAGAGAGAGAGAGAGAGAGAGAGAGAGAGAGAGAGAGAGAGAGAGAGAGAGAACATAAAAGAGGGAGCCAATATTGGTTTGAAGATAAAATTGAACACAAAGAAAGGTCTAGAGAACTACAAGACTGCCGCCAACTAACAATTTGAGCTTCCGTGGAAAGGCTATCATAAATGCCCTTCCCGGAGAGTGAGATCAACAACTAACTTATCCATGGAGCCCTCAACTAATGCCTGTTGGAAAGAGGATCAAACACCCATACATAAACACTGAGTCGAACTAGAACCCAGATGCAGATGGAGAGGACAAGACCATGTGGCAGAAATACATACAGACAGCTTACCTGAACAAGGAGGAGCTAATGGCCACTAGACTGATAGCTGGGAAGCCAGCATGGGTCTGACTCAGGCCCCGCTGAATATGGGTCTCAGCCAGAAGGACTGAGCAATCTAAGGGACCTCAGACAGTGGAGCCAGGATGTATCCCTGGTGCACAAAAGGTCCTTGCGAACACATCCCCCATGGAGGGATAACTGCCTTAATCTAGGGACAGGAGAGAAGCCCTAGTCTCTACTTCACATGACCTGTCAGATCTACATGACCTCAACTGGATAGCATTCCCCTACATATGGAATTGGGGTGGAGGGATGGGAGGGGAGGGTGTTTAGAGTACATGTGAGAGGGCAGAGAGGGTAAAAGGGAGGGAAGGAGGGAGGGAGGGAGGGAGGGAGGGAGGGAGGGAGGGAGGGAGGGAGGGAGGGAGGGAGGGAGGAAGAGGGAACTGGAATCGACATGTAAAATAATAAATTAATGCTTTGACTCCAAAATTTAAGTTCAAGGACAAGTTACTGGGGGAAAGGATTTCTATTTTTGTTTCCACAGAAAATGAAAAGATGTGGATTCCTTCCAGACTAATGTGGTTTGATCAAGCCAGACCGCCTAAAACAGAGTACCAGGTGATCCTACATTCAAAACAGCTAGACAAAGCAGCCTTACAGACTACAGCCAGGATTTCTGAATCTTCTTCGAATCCCCCATGACAGCACCCCTGACCAGCAGGAAGTAGTTTGGAAAGAACAACGCCCAAATTCCCAAATATTGTCTATAAATGTTTGTTTTCATTTAAATGGACTTTGTTATATAAAATAAATTAAAAAATAAATAAATAAAATAAAATAAAAAAGAATGCACAACTAAGAGGCTACTTGGTACTGGAGGACAGTCAAGCTACAGTTTTGTGTTTTGGAGATGGCAAATAAATAAAGACTGAATTAATGGCTCTGAAAAAAAAAAAGATTTGATAGGTGATCTGCAAGCATTTGGTTTAGGCCTACTTGTTTTATTTCTTAAGTAGGTCCATCTGAATAATGTACCCTGTATTTTCTGAATTATGTGTTTTCCAGGCATTGTACTTTCTAATCTTTTAGAATATTTTTATCTCTAACCTTAGAGATAGGAGAAATTAGATCAAACCATTATACAAAAATCCTTAAAATACATTTTTAGATTATAAGAAATAATTTAAACTTAGGCTAATTAATTAAGAATACACGAGGCCAAGGGTAACCAATAAATAATGTAAAGACATAAATAACAATTGAATTGGTAAATTGAGAAGTTCCAGCCCAGCCCTCGTCCTCTTCTGCCGGCTATTGGCCAGAGGTAAGTCTGGGCCCAATCGGGGCTGCCTGTCCCCTTCAACCTCTTTTCCCCCCTCCCCCGCCTGAACTCCCTGGATTGGCCCCTGATCCTGCTGCTCCTGTCTCCTGTCCCCTTTGAGAGCACCCTTGGAGCTCTGATACACCCCCACCCATCCCAACCTCCAGCCTACCCCCCCACACCCTGTGCCCTACCCCACCTACGGTCCTGCCGCTCTGGTTGAGCACTGGGACAGAGGGTGGAGCCAACAGTCCACCCTACTTCGGAGACCTCTCGGAGCAACTCCGAACAAAGGAGACCTGACTATCCACGTGGGACCACCTGTAATTTCCACCGGCTTGGTCCCTGACCCCGCCTCCAGTCCTCTGCTGGAGTCCCAGGGCCCCTCCCAGAGATCCGCCTATCTCTGCAGGTCCACTTGGAGTTCCTGCAGGCAAGATCCTTGACCCACAAATCCGGGCCCCTGCCAAAGAACGAGGTCTCAGCTGGAGAGCACCAGTTTCCAGTGAGATCCCACTACCCTGCAAAACCTTCTCAAGTTCCAGTCCAGCCCTCGTCCTCTTCTGCCGGCTATTGGCCAGAGAGAAGCCTCCTAGAGAGCTTGGACCACACAGAGATACAGACATTGAATCTTTGATCCACATAAGCCCAT